TGTCGAAATTGCACCGATCCCAGAGATTTATGCACAGTCTGCCTACAAGCATTACCAATCAGCCACGATATCGACGGCAATAATTAACATGAGAACACCAGAATAGCAATGGCGTAGGTTTAATGAGCTAAACAACAACTCTACACGACCGTTAACAGTGTTTGGTACATTTCTTTGACCCACTCATCTCCCATCCTTGAACGACTGTCGCCTTTCCCGAGGCGTTCTCAGTATCGAAAACGAAACAACTTTTTTTTTTTCTGAATTTGGACGTCGTCCCTAAGATTCATCTCCATTCGGAAAAATTTGCTTTATACTTTTAACAAATTGGACAAGGTTGGAACAAACGAAATGAAGTTTAAAGATCACTAATGATTGCAGTTAACAAGTGATCAGTTTTACTGCCGTTGCCGTCGTAGTTGCTTACCATACATCACGACAAGAACGAGAGTTTCTCAGTAAATCGTGCCGCTTACTGGAAATGAACAGCTAATAACATTATCCTCTACCGCTAATTCCAATTGCCTCAAGGGATTTAGTATGTAAAGACTAGGAAATCTACACGATAACTGATTTCAATTTACCTTTCAAGTTAAGGTTAAGTCCCCTGAGGCGTTGTTCAATGTTTGGAGAATTACTGAATAACGCGGCTCCAACTCAAAACAAATTTTACTTGGGAGTGTAGGAGACCGAATTGACGACGCCCACTACTGATTCTTGTTTTTTTTAAAACAATCCCCGTTACGCAGACTTTGTAATGTTTAGTTATTTGGCGATGACAATGCTTAAGACCTGAATTTGCCTTAAAAATTCGCTGGATAGAGCCACGAATATCTCATCAATATCAAAGGCAACACTAATTTCGTTCAATTTGTAAGAATATGGCCGAATCAGGTCGTTTTATTATGAGCCCAAATTCATTGGTGATAGCGAAATACGAGGTTCTAATGACTAACAATGTTAATAAGTGCCTTATTGCTCAATTGGAAGAATATCTTCCCTATAATGCAGAATTAGGTTTTTTAAATTAAAAAGAACCGTTGTCTTTTTAAAACATTCAAATGACATGATTAATTGCGCATTGCCAGGATAATATTTCCAAAACACCGTTTCGTCCATTTCCCGTCACTTTCTATGACAACCGACAACATCGTTAAGTGCGAAATAAATCCAATGCCAATGCTGTCTACTTTTCACAACTTGGAAGTCGGTGTCGCAGTTGGGTATCGTCATTACTTCAAGTCCGTCCGTCACTACAGTGAATATTATTACTCTTTATCTCATGCCGTTATTAGGCCCCGAAGCAAGGCACAATATCTTGACGTAGATCTAAAAAATAATACTCACTTCCTCTCTTTTTTAATGCACAATTTAACACATAAGAGTTAAGCTTCTGTCAGCCCTGAAAACACTGTTATCATGCAGCACGGTCCCTCAGTCTTAAGGATAAATATATTTCTCAAGCACACTAAAAGGAAAATCGCTTCATCTTTCTTTAACTCTAAGTAATTACTCTATATTTGTTTAGGAATGACAGAGACTTCCTTAAAAATCAAATACAGCTGACGATGGAGTGCGTCATATTATTTCTGCTGTGCTATTAAACAGAGCCAATCGCATAAAAAGCGCGTTTTCACCTAGGTTCGATTTCAGATGTCTCCCGGGTCCAGTCTTTGACTTTGAGGGTGTAGTTATCTCTCTGTGTTGCCTTACAAAAATTAATAATTTAACTTTTTCAAGAAGCCAATGCTTTCGTGGTGAGTTATTTTCATTTGTGCTGTTTGATTTAGAGTTTGTCATAATGATACCATCTTTGTGACCTGGATTCCGGGCTGGGGGGTTACTCCAATATATGGGTTAGGTAGGTATGAGCTAACCGAAAGGGTATGGTTTTTTGAGCGGTCTTCATCCTTGAAGAGGGTATCATTTTTGCCATTGTTCGCGCTTGACTCGTGTTTTCGTCTTTAACTTTAACCAGGAGTCCAGATACTACAAGGAAGTCCAGATCCACCAAAAAGGAAAAAGTCTATTTTGTGGAATTGCGGTCATAGTTAAAGTCATACTGAAATAACAGCTGATACAATTATAAAATTAATTTCAGTAAACGTTGTCGGAAACGCGACGAGACTGCAAAGCAGCAAAGCTTGGGTAAAACAAGCAACAAAAACGTGCAACTTGTTACGAAACATTGCTGCAAAACGACTGAGATGAAAAGCGATGTTCCGCGTTTGACCATCCACTGCAACATGTACAAATCAGGTTGCATTTGAAAGTTGACTTCTGATTGGATAAAATTGGATAGAATGAGGAGTCACGCCATTCACTGAAGTTACGTCATTTCGGCTACAAATCGAGTTTGCCTTGGGCCGGTAAAACGCCCAACATGCGAAAATGTTGCTGCAAAAAAGTAGAACTACTCTCTACTTTCTGTAGCAACTTTTTGCAACCTGCGGTAATCTGATTTGTTACAAGACAGGTTTAAACGCAGGTGAACATCGCCTTTCAACTTGATTTGCAGCCATGTAAAACAAGTTGCATGTATTTGTCACTCGTTTTACCGTACATTAGTGCTAAAATGTATGATATCTTATTCCATTCTTTGACACGTACTGACAACCTTGAAGTACAGTGGAACCCAGGTGATACGAACACTAAGTGAACACGGCTTGGAGTCAGTATAAGTGGGTTCCGTTTTGAGTGGGTATCCGTAGGGCGGGGTTGCACTCTATTACAATAACGACATGTACAGCTACCCACATTACCTTGCGGTCTTGTCTTGCCTCACAAGCTAACAATGCCTGTTGTTTAAAATTTTATTTCCCTATTTGCTTTGGGGTATGGTAATGTACGATGATGAGATTAAAACAAGGAAAATAAAATTTAAACCAAGGATAAAATTGAATCACAACATACATATCGGCCTGGCATCTTAATGTTGGCCATCATGGCCATCTAGTTTTGTTATTTGCCGTTCGATCAGATCAGATAACAGTGACTTGCCCTGTTAAAATTAGTTTGAAATGTCATATGTCGAAATTGCACCGATCCCAAAGATTTATGCACAGTCTGCCTACAAGCATTACCAATCAGCCACGATATCAACGGCAATAATTAACATGAGAACACCAGAATAGCAATGGCGTAGGTTTAATGAGCTAAACAACAACTCTACACGACCGTTAACAGTGTTTGGTACATTTCTTTGTCCCACCCATCTCCCATCCTTGCACGACTGTCGCCTTTCCCGAGGCGTTCTCAGTATCGAAAACGAACCAACGTTTTTTTTTCAGAATTTGGACGTCGTCCCTAAGATTCATCTCCATGCGGCAAAATTCGCTTTATACTATTAACAAATTGGACAAGGTTGGAACAAACGAAATGAAGTTTAAAGAACACTAATGATTGCAGTTAACAAGTGATCAGTTTTACTGCCGTTGCCGTCGTAGTTGCTTACCATACATCACGACAAGAACGAGAGTTTCTCAGTAAATTTTGCCGCTTACTGGTAAAACATTATCCTCTACCGCTAATTCCAATTGCCTCAAGGGATTTAATATGTAAAGACTAGGAAATCTACACGATAACTGATTTCAATTTACCTTTCAAGTTAAGGTTAAGCCCCCTGAGGCGTTGTTCAATGTTTGGAGAATTACTGAATAACGCGGCTCCAACTCAAAACAAATTTTACTTGGGAGTGTAGGAGACCGAATTGACGACGCCCACTACTGATTCTTGTTTTTTTTAAAACAATCCCCGTTACGCAGACTTTGTTATGTTTAGTTATTTGGCGATGACAATGCTTAAGTCCTGAATTTGCCTTAAAAATTCGCTGGATAGAGCCACGAATATCTCATCAATATCAAAGGCAACACTAATTTCATTCAATTTGTAAGAATATGGCCGAATCAGGTCGTTTTATTATGAGCCCAAATTCATTGGTGATAGCGAAATACGAGGTTCTAATGACTAACAGGGTTAATAAGTGCCTTATTGCTCAATTGGAAGAATATCTTCCCTATAATGCAGAATTAGGTTTTTTAAATTAAAAAGAACCGTTGTCTTCTTAAAACATTCAAATGACATCATTGATTGCGCATTGCCAGGATAATATTTCCAAAACACCTTTTCGTCCATTTCCCGGCACTTTCTATGACAACTGACAACATCGTTAAGTGCGAAATAAATCCAATGCTAATGCTGTATACTTTTCACAACTTGGAAGTCGGTGTCAGTCGGTGTCGTAGTTGGGTATCGTCATTACTTCAAGTCCGTCCGTCACTACAGTGAATATTATTACTCTTTATCTCATGCCGTTATTAGGCCCCGAAGCAAGGCACAATATCTTGACGTAGATCTAAAAAATAATACTCACTTCCTCTCTTTTTTAATGCACAATTTAACACATAAGAGTTAAGCTTCTGTCAGCCCTGAAAACACTGTTATCATGCAGCACGGTCCCTCAGTCTTAAGGATAAATATATTTCTCAAGCACACTAAAAGGAAAATCGCTTCATCTTTCTTTAACTCTAAGTAATTACTCTATATTTGTTTAAGAATGACAGAGACTTCCTTAGAAATCAAATACAGCTGACGATGGAGTGCGTGATATTATTTCTGCTGTGCTATTAAACAGAGCCAATCGCATAAAAAGCGCGTTTTCACCTAGGTTCGATTTCAGCTGTCTCCCGGGTCCAGTCTTTGACTTTGAGGGTGTAGTTATCTCTCTGTGTTGCCTTACAAAAATTAATAATTTAACTTTTTCAAGAAGCCAATGCTTTCGTGGTGAGTTATTTTCATTTGTGCTGTTTGATTTAGTTGATGTTTTTTTCGGTAACCTTTAAGATTTGAGCACGTAGTCGCGAAAAAAATTGCGCGAAGCAGGACTGGTATAGGGACTTAGGTTACAAAATGTCATTAACAGTAGTTATTATCTTCCTTATTTGCAGATAGCATTCAGAAAAATGAAAGGACTTGAGATGTGTGCAACTTAATGGTTAGAGATGTCTTCCACGAAAGAAAACAAAACCTGCTTTGTAGTACACAATTCGCCGGATTTTGTAACGGGGATCTTTATCACGCTCTCAGTTACTGGAATATTAACAGCGATTTTGGGAAACTCTCTGATATTTCTTGCCGTGTACAAAACATACTCACTCAGAACTCCATCTAACTACCTACTTGCTAGTCTGTCCTTAGCAAGTCTACTGTTCGTCCCGGTTCTGGCGAGTTACACTGTTTCGCTAACAATGAGCGAATGCCATGCAATAATGCCAATTTTGTGTTCATGGACTTCAAAAGTGGATTTTGCATTATTCTGTGTTGTCATGGCTCATGTGGCTATGATCTCCTTGGATCGACTTGTAGCTATCAAAAGACCAATGAGGTATGTTTTTAAAACAATTTCAAGCTCTGCTATTCAATCACAGAATGAAAATTTTAAAACCTTAACCTTTCTGTTCTTCAAGTTTGTGAAACCGATCAAATATAATTGTATGAAACTCTCATGCAGTTCTTCCCGGTCCTTGACAGCTTTTCAAGAATTTATCAAATGTAATTGGAAGCGAACCTTCTTTGTCTGCTTTATTTCGATTTATGCCGCTGTTGCTTAAGGGGCTCCCACGTTATATCACAAGTTATTTTCTGCGACTTCTATCATTTCCATGAAACTTCTATTATTTGTTAATTAATACTTTGTAAGTTCGATGGCATTTCATGTGTTTTTGTCCTCGATTAGAAAGAACTGCTTATATAAGCTTTAACAGCAGGTGCAATATAAGGGATGCACCATCGTTGCCAATAATAAGAAGAGATAATATATAAAAAATACATGATATTAAAAAATGTGCACTTATATTCAAGACAGTTACTGTTTTGGCAGTCCGCAAAAATTCAATATTATTCAAATGTCTAAGAGAAGATGAAACATGAGGTACGTTCTTTTTCATCTCCATGTCAGCAGCTGCTTCCAAATACATGACGTCACATGACGTCACGGCAGCCATAGTGATGTTCCAAAACAATGAAACGGTGGCCAACCAATCCTCTGGGATTTCAACTCTTTACCTTTGTAATTGTTTTCTTTTGTTCCAATAAATTTGCACAGACGATGGTCACGTGAGTGAAAACGCTCTATACCTGATTCAATAAAGATTGCTTTGGGCATTGACAATTGGGTACCTTGGAGCTGTTGTTTGGCAGTCACTCACTGTTCCGTATGCCTATAAATGCCCAAGGCCCAATTGCCAAAGCAGCCTTTACTGAATTGGGTGTAAAAGAACTATAAAGAAACGGCTTTCTAGAATAGACCTTTTTACCGATACGGCGGCCTTATTGAATTGATTCGATTTAAGGAGTATTATAGGATGTCCAGGGGGCATGAGCTCATTTCGTTTGTATTTTCGAGCGCTTTTCGGGACATTTTTTCTTAAAGTTTTCTTAGAACAAGATTGTAACATGGGAAAAGAGATCGTTGTGCCGTGTTTGGATGTAATAATGATCGCCTTTTTCTAGTTTAGTATTAGAAATATGGTCTTTCACTGTATATTTCTCGGGAAAAAATCATCACCATCTTCAGGAGCCGATTTCACCGTCATCATCATGATCATTTTTTTAAACATTTTTAGTCCTAGTCCCAAAGAGAATTGAAACCCATAGTTCCCCACTACATTACGTGCAACTAGATTCCTCACTAGATCAACTTGAGTAGGTAAGATAGTTAAGTAGTGAAACAGACAACTGGTGATAGAAGAGGTAGATGAGGGAGATAGCTGTGAGTTTTTCGGGTGTAGCTGAATGTGCTTATCACAAGTTCTTGTCCTGTTGTTATTAGTCTACCCATGGAGATTAAAACTGTTAACGATGACTTTAATTCTGAAAAACATTTTTCTCACCTGCAGATACTCAACAATGATGACAAAGAGGAGGACCCTAGTTATAATAACAATAGTTTGGATTGCTGGCGGAATTGGAGGAGCTATTCCAGGCTTTTTTCGTCTCATTCTTCGAAAACAAGGCAGACCACTACTTCAACTGATGTATGGTTGCATTCAAAATAACGTAATCCCTACTCAACGTCAATTAAAATCCATAATTCCTCACTTTCTCTTCTTGATGTCGTTAACAGTCCTTTTACCAAGCGGTATTATGCTCTTCACGCATGCGTGGATTTTTACCATCTCTCGCAGTCAGGTCCGAAGAATCCGCGTGCTGGAAGACGCCGTATCAAAACGACGGTCTAGTGAAATGCGCGCCGCTAAGACGGTGGCAGTCACCGTGTTTTCAGCATTAGCGTGTTTTACTCCTCTGGTTGTTGTAAATTTCATCACAGCATTAGATCCACCAAGTGGGAAGAAGTTAACTCCCACTCAAATCAACATCAAGTATGTTCTTTTTCCGAGTCTCAAGATTTTGTATCTGTTGGCGGTAACTTTAAACCCTTTTATTTGTGCTTTAAAAACCAGACCCTTTAAAGAGACGTTCAAGAAGTATTTGAAACCTTTGCAAATGAGACAAGGCGTTTCTTTACCTACTACATTAAACCACTCCGGGGCCAAGAACATCGAATTAGCAACAACAAAAAACCGGAACATTGAGATTGCGAGATCAACGGTTTTGTGAATAATCAAATAATCGATCTGTAATTACTCCGCGTATTCTTCAAGTTTTATCCAGACCCAGCGATAACATGGAAAAAAAAACTTCCTAGAAAGACTTGAGAAGAAAATAAATCCAGAAGCAGTGACAATAAAACGGCGCACGAAGTGACCCAAACGGGATATTGCCTTCATGGCATTACAACCACATAAAAACACAAATAGGTAAACTGAGCAATCAAGAGGCGCAAAAGGCGAGACTCTATAAATACCTTCAGTGAAGATATCAGAGAAAAAAGCCTTTTATTCCTCACAAATTTAGGGAGTGCTTGTTGGCTCCACTGAGCCACTTAATAGTGAGGAAAATAAAAAGCGCAGCTTAAACATCACGCGCGCCGGGTAGGAGCAAGGATGGTG